AGTTTTAAATGGCAAATTACCCCCAAGATACAACAAACCCTTGAACACAATATCCAGCAAAAAATATTGAGTTCCAGAACAATATATTCATCTGTATTTTCTGAAGTCCATCATATAAAGACAGGGATGCATCCATCCTCTTTAAGTGTTACAGCCTTTCACATAAAGATACCTTTTCAATTTGATGGTTATCTTTTATATGCTGATGCACTTATATCAATAGTTATTTCTATTGTTAATAAGTGCTCAGATATGTGAGAAAACATATCACAAATAGATGCAATGGTTTGAGACCTTTTCAGATCACTAAAACACACGAACGCATTTTTCGTCGACAATTTGCGCTGCAGCGCCCAAGAGGCGCGCTGCAGCGCGCGGGCTTAGCAAAATAGACCCGAGAGATCTGTTTTGCGCAGGTTGCAACGCCCAGGGCGCGCTGTAGCGCGTCCGTGCACTGCAGCGCACGCTGCTGTGCACTGCAGCACGCGGACCTAGGAAAAACAGACCCGAGAGGTCTGTTTTGCGCAGGCTGCAGCCCCCAAGCGCGCTGCAGCACGTGCTTGCTTCAGCCCACACTTCCCGAATGTGTTTTAATCCAATTTTGTGATATTAAAATTGAGAGATATATTACAATCTCTCTAACATAATATAATATAACGCTTTATTGTAAAATATATATAATGGATAATTATGTAGTTTAGAAATACACGTTGTCGATAAGAGTTCTCTAACCCCAAAAAAAGTCATTGATACATATTTTTCCTTTAATTTTCAATTAATAGCTTTGCTCACATGACTTGTCACCTTGAGCAATGGCATGAAATTAGGCTGTTCGCAAAAAGCATAGGTCATTTATTTTTTTTCTTTTTTTTTTAATCTTGTTTGAATAACTTAGCCAAGCTTTATTTTGCTTATAATTTGCTTGCAAATAAGTTTTGTTGAAATTATTCAGCTGATCCTAATTAATCTAAAAAAAATAAAGGACAAGGAAGACGGGAAGGAAAGGGACAGTTATTCATTTTTGTATTGAGAGTCTACGGTTAACCCCATGAGAATAGTGTGAGACCTCAAGTTTTCCTAATAGGACATTCATAAGGTTGTTAACCGGCCCTATATGGTAATGTAAATCATACAAGTTACAACCCTGCACGCAAGGATATATATATATATATATATATATATATATATGTTAACCGGCCATATATGGTAATGTAAATCATACAAGTTACAACCCTGCACGCAAATACACACACACACCCCTTATTCTAAGCAAGATCGCGTGGGTTGCAAGTATGAAAAAAGTGAGGAGCATCATGTTATCTAATAACGCTTTGAATTATACAAACAGCTTTCCTAAGTCAATCCAAATATGTAATTATCTAGACTCTAGTGTATGCGACCGTAAAGAATGCTCAAATTTGTACGAGATGAAAAGATACCTTATGAATAGAGTGTTATTTTGGACCATTAGATCTTATCTGATTTTGACGATTTTGTGTGTATATATATATTATTTTAATGGGATTTTAATTAGATCTGTTTATAATTTAATAAGAATATTCTATCATAGAAAGCTCAAAATTTTGAGAATACAACAAATTGTCCAACCCATGCAAAAGCTAAAACTGAAAAGGCCTGAACACTGCCTTGGTTTTGTTTTTTAATTATTTCTTTTTCAGGCTTTAAAGCAATTTCCAATTGAATAGCCCCAATACATGTGCTATAATAGTCAATTATACGTTAGAAATTTCTAAATTGCGTCCTAAAAAAAATGCACTCTCGATAATTCTCTATTTTTACTATCAAATTTTGATCATAAATTATATATTTTTTATACTTTTCAATTTCATACTATCAATAGAAGATCTCACCGTACGACCCATATAACTTATCTAATTAGTTACAATTTTTTTTTTTTTTTGAAACTTTTGGAGTGATAGACACTTAAGTCACGTTACTAATATTCATAGTGAAAATTTCTGTATACAATATTATATAATAGGTGAATGATATAAAATTATGAATAAATACAAATAAAAAATGTTTCTGAATATTAGAATATATCCTAATTAATCGTAAGCGTTGGACCAATTACTTAGCCAATGTTCAACATTTTAGATGAGCTGCTAAAAGGAAGGAGAGGAGGAGGACACCCTATAATGCATTTTCAGAAAGACAACAATATATATATATATATATATGAGCACAAGCATCCTTGCTGCGGTAGATCTAAGCCCTTCGGAGTTTGGCTCCCTCAAATCAACGATTCCTTTAAGGGGCTGGTGCTTGGTTTGGCGATCGGAGATAGTGACAGAGGAGGTGGGCTTGGTGTCTTCTTCAAGTAGTGTGTTGTGCTGCAGCTCTCTCGTCCATCCGTAGTGGTGCTCGGCGTGCCATTAAAGTCTTTGTCGGTGTCTTTTGGTGTTTACTCTCTTGTTTTAATTTGTGTGTTTGTAACAAGACATTGATATTTCCGCCGTTCTGTTTTAGTTTGTTTATATTTTGTTGATGGTCGTCGGCGTGTGTTTGGCCTTGTGTTGTTTTTGTTTGTCGTGTCGCTAATGTTCTCTCGTTATGAGGGTTTGTAATCATACCTTTCAAAGCGTGAAAGTTTATCTCGATGGAAAGGATTTCTTCTACGAGAGCCTTGACTTTGCTCGTTGGTAGTGTGTCGAGGTGTTCTCCGGTTTTCCAGCCTCATACATGTTTCTGTTCACTTGTTGGGTCATTAACGTTGTCATGTGCATTTGCGTCTAATGTGGTTGTAAGTGTTAATAACTACACAGCTTTTCCTTAAAAAAAAAAAAAGAAAATCTAAACATAGATAAAAGAGGCAAAGAAATTTGTTTCTCCTTTGGCCACATCTTCTTTTTACTCTTTTATTTTATATCAATCTATCCTTTTTACTATTTTATTTTTATTTATTTAGATTTTTTTGAGAGAAATTATTCAGTAGACCGAGAATACAACATCATTATGCTTACGCGGTACACCCGTCAAATAAAAACCTTACATTTATTCAGTTTTTCTATGTCAACTTTTCATAATGAGAGATTTTTATAATTACCCCTCAAAATGAATTATCAAACTATTATTAACCTCTAAACATGAACTCTTTTATTTCTATCCTTATAGACTTAAGCTCAATGAAAAACGCAATATGTAGATTACTAAAATACCCTCAAAGATATTTACAAGATGTTAATTGTCTCTGATCACTGACAGCCATCCGGCGTGTCTTGGCGGCCGGCGGTGGTACTTCAGTGTGTCTCCTGGGTTTTGAGCCACGTACGATCTTGAAGTGGTGGGCCAGCACTGAGGTGTAGCCTTTCTATCTTGGTTTATCTTGTCTCCACAATGTCCTACGACTCCCTCACAAGGGCCAATGCATAGTTCGACTTTTGTGAGACTGTAAAGTTATCTCCCCCAAAGACTAGTTTGTTCACATTCATTTTGTCACTTTCTTCTCATTTTGATGCATGATTCAAAAAGGCACTGATTGGATTCACAAACTTTCGTTTTTGCCCAACACAGCGTTCGTTAAAGTCCAATCCCACCACAGTAATATGGTAGATAAATCAATCAACTACGTAGCCTCTTGTCAAGTTCCCATTGGATTTTGAGACTCCTTTTCTATTCACCTAGGTTTACTGTGTTGGCTCCTCATTGGCCCAATATGTATATATATGGAAGGAAGTAAAAATTAATTGTATTTTTCCCTTCAATATGTAAATATTCCTGGTTTAGAAGTTAAATTTCCTGTAAATTATCTAAGGGTTCGTTTCATTGCAGTGAGACAATAGTAATGATAATGTGAATAAGAATGATAATGATAATAAAAGAAAAAAAAGTTAATTCAGTTATTTAGTTGTAATTTTAAGAATACTATAATATAAAACATGAATATTTTTATGTTAAAAAAATTACCTTCATGTTACATATAATATTAATATTTTATATATCAATATAATTAATATAATATTTAAAATGTAATATAATATAATAAAATTATAATTATATTATACATTATATAATTATGATATAGAATATAATAATATTATAAAATGTTATTATGCTTATGCGGTACCTGTTAAATAAAAACCTTACATTTGTTCATTTTTTTTATGTCAACTTTTCATAATGAGAGATTTTTATAATTATCCCTCAAAATAGATTATCAAACTATTATTAACCTCCAAACATTAGCTCTTTTATTTCTACCCCTTTAGACTAAGTCCAATCAAATGCCCAATATATAGATTACTAAAATACCCTCAAAGGTATTTACAAGATGTTGGCCGTCTCTAATCACCGACATCCGTCCGGCGTGTCTCTGGCTACCGGCAGCAGAACTCCAGTGTGTCTCCGGCGGCCGTCCGGTGGGGTCTCTGGTGGCCATAGTCTTCAGACTATAATATATAGTCTGACATACTAAGATGACCATGGCGGCCATAGTCTGTGGGACTATAATACATAGTCTGACAGACTAAGATGACTATGCTTCATAGTCTCTCAAACTATACTCAGTAGGCTCTCAGACTATGTTATGTCGATAAGCGGGTCTCGGTCGCCGGACGCCGGCTATAGTATGTCAGACTATGATCTATAGTTTAGCAGACTATGACTATAGTTTAGCAGACTATGATATATTTCAACCTGTTTAAATCAATTTCTAAGGCTAAAAAAGTATTGAAAAGCATACTATGATTAGCCTAACTAAATACGCCGGCTGAGAATCTCTGATCTCTAATATTGGCTATAGTCTGTCAGAGTATGATCCATAGTCTGTTAAACCGTGACAGATTATGGATATCTATAACATGTCATGATATGTTTCTATTTTCACCTAAAATATGATTGAACGTATTCGATCATCGATGTTAGTAGTCGAAGAAGAATCTACTAAATTGATCCAAAAATAAAACACAAAAAACTCCAACTAAATAATAACAAATCCATATTACAAATCGAATACCAATTCGAATGAATACCAGGTCGAATAAACTGAATAAGTATTACATTCCCTTTGCCAGCCATGCTGCTTGTGCTGACATGATTATTCCTATAATCACTCCAAACAGCCCGAGTGCAGTTCCAAAAATCAAACTAAAACTCTATTTTCTTCAAGACTCGCTCTTTAGCAATAAGAAAAGTATATCTGAACACCATAAAGATAAGCAAGTATACTCTTAGCCACAAACAGTGTCTAACTTTTCAACAACCTCTACAAGAGAGTCTCACCCCATAGAGATTAATCCAATTCAAGTGATCGAAAACAAAAACAAAAAACAGAAAATCCATCTTAAGATCAACTTCTCGGAGGAAGCATTACCATATCGGCCCATTTTGATTAGAACACTTCCTGAGAGCAAATACTTGCTAATTCATTTCCAGTACTTAATAATCATGCTATAATATGACCAAAAAGAATCCTTCTGAAACCTATGCAAATTATTGTTAGATTATACTAAAATGAGCAACTAACTACAATTCAAACTTTTTCCTAAAGTTCCAAGCTGAGAAGATCCAATTAAGCAACAAAGCAAACACATTCAAGAAACTAGTACAACATACCGTGAACACCACTTGAAAGAACATTATCCTCCAGAGCATGATAGAAGACTAAATCTTGGTTAAATTTCCTCATCAAACTTTCTATAATCTTGGGCCTCGTGAGAGGAACTCTTTCCAGAGCAGTGCAAGCAAGCTTCATCAGAGGCATCGTATCCCATCTGTTTGCTAAAATAGTTAAAACTTTGTTAAACAATCTCCAAGCAAATGAAAACTTACAGAATTAGTTCACAAATCCAATCAAATAAACAATTTGTGCTCTGATTGAGATAAGAAACCAAATCATAAATAAAACACACACAAAAAAAATCCAATTTTGATCAAATCCTTTAATCAGAGCTAATATTAATCCTATAAATATTGAATTGACTTAACGAACAGCCAAATACATAGAAATGGAGGGGAAAAATCAATTTGAAAAGAATGAACGGCTCAATCTTGAACAAATCCAACCATCCAAATTCGTATTAATCCCAAGAACAAATTTTGATCTCGAAGGAGACAAATTGAAGCTAAGTTTCTAGTGGTTTAAAAGAGCATAAAAGTTGAAAAGCACCATATCTGATAGTCCCACTCAGCAGCAATGGCCTTAGCTAGAGTCAAAGTCGGAAGCTTTAGAGGCCTCTTGGAATGCATCCTCAAAGTCCGATAATCAAGCATCACTTGATTTCGGAATGCTCGGCACATAATCTTTTCAGAATAACTGTGTAATAACATATGTCCCGTGTATAACTCTAAGTGGTTGTCGGGATCCCCTCTTCCATCATAAGGAGAAATCGATGGTATTTTATACTTATTCAGAAGAGGCGGCGCCATGATCTCTGTTGTGAAAAGATGATCATGAACTCTCTCCAGGGCAATGTCGATGTTGACCACCTCGGCAACTTGCCCCAAGTTATTTTGTAGGTGACTCACCTGGCTCTTTACATCCCTTTTTAAATCGGCAACATCACCCACAAGCCTCTCTTCTAAACTTGCCACGCGCTCCATAATTGCCTTAGCCTCTACCGTGGAGATTGTGGAGTCGACTCCTTTTGAGGTATCGGCTCTTCTAGCGTTCAGCATGTTTCTCAAGTCTCTGTCCCTTTGCACCGACCCTAAGTCTTCCTGGTCATCATTGCCATGGTTTCCTCGAGGTGGCACCCTCGAGGGCAGTTCTTGTCCATTTGCACCTTCCCTTTCTTGAGCTCGTCTCTTGGAGGCCCTTTACCTGCTTCCCAGCGACTTTGATGGTCGAGGCCTAAGGTTGTTTCCTCTTGTGTTCTCGCTCTCCCTAATCCCTTCTAAAGCACTACGCTGGTCACCATTATTCTAGTTCCCTGCTGTAGCTGCATTTGGTGGTCTCGGTGGAGCGTCTTCAAGAGGAGGCATAGAGTTTCTCCCGTCAATTTGTTCTATGGTAGCCACAAAGTGTCGAACCATATCAATTAAGGTATAAAGCTGCATTGCATCTATACTAGATCAAGCTGGGGCGCGTTTAGGACTAGAACTTCTTCATTCCTAACCACAGGCTGATTCTCCAAATTGGGTTGGTTCTCATCCCTTCCTCCATTGGCCTGGTTGGCTTGGTGCATGGTGTTATTTTCAGTTTTGCTATATTAATTCGCAGCGTCGCTTCTTGTTCTTCTTGGAGGCATGATTTCAAGTTGATTTTTAACTCAAATTCTTCGCGCTAACCAGAGATTCTAGGTTCGGTCTCCAGTGGATTTGTCAATTGTTGACAGTGAAAATTCGTCAACGGAAATATAACAAATTTTAAAACGGTTTGCGCAAATTTAATGATCTAAAACACGATTTAACATAATCAATTAGTAAGAACACACGAGAATTATAGTAGTTCACCATTGATTCAAGAGCTACGTTCACTGCAGGGAGGAGATATTTCACTATCTCTGGAGGAATTACACACACTAATGTTCAGAATGAGACTTAGGGATTTCTCGACCTACAATCCCTTATCTATATCTTTTCCCATTGTCGCAGCTGGTTTCCCTCTTTAGTTCGGGGATATTTTCCTCATCTTTTGAGATAGTTTCTCAAAAGATGGAGATTACAATCAATCAGGACGATTTATTTGCTTAAATTTTATATATTTGAATTACAAATAGCAAATCTCGCATATCTCTTGACTTGCATAGACTCAACTTCATAAGTGTTCTCAGAATCGTCTTCGCCTACATTTGTTAGTGCAGTCGACCTTATGTTGTCATTTGCATCTCCTTAGAGCGGTCGACCTCCTATGTATGCCACACTCAGTCTGCTCCAAAGAGAGTTATCATCTGACATGACGCTTATGGCAGAGCTGTTCTCGATCATTTAATGGCTTCATTTATAATGCGTGAGCCCCATTTAATGTCTGTTTTAGAGTTCAAAATTTTACCATTCAATAATTATCACACCTAAATCACTTTGTTTCACAAGAAACGAATTATTTTTGGGCCCCCATATATAGATAACCTATTCATCTAATTTGTTTGAATATGAATTTCATATACAGATTTGATTGTTTTTTCAATAAAAACAACACATGAACAACGGACAGACAAAAATGGGTTAAATATGTAATCAACACACAAACAAACAGTGGGTCTGGAAAGCAATTGTAAAAGTGTGTGTTCTATTAATTTATTGCTAGAAATGTTGTTATTTTATTAGGTTGTCCATATGGGGTTCCAAAACAAACCCGTGGCTATACAGAGTACAGACATGCTTCGGTTTCGTTTATTTTAGGGAGCTTAGAAGTGGACCCCACCAAGCTAGCTAAGGAACAACTGTGGGACCCCATTAAGCTCGCTTCAGATGCTCTGTTGAGCGACTTCACATGCATCAACACACTGCTGGTGCTATACTCATCGCACTGCCATGACGAAATTGGAACCTTCATCGGCCAGCGACAAAGCACGGATTCCATTCCACGAAAGGGGTCCCTCTCTCTTCAAAATAAATAATAATAATAATAATAATAAAACCACACCGATCCATGAGGAAGAAAAATTTCACAACATAATAGTTTCTCAAGATATTTGTAAGTATATTCATTTACACAACTCAAGTTATAAATTAAATTGTGTATTATAATAAAAAAATTAAATTTAAATTTATATGAGAAAAAATATTTTAATAATATGACTTGAGTTATAAAATAACCAAAGCCTTAAGTCTTTTCATTAAAAAAGTTTGAGAGTTTTTCTGATAAGATTTTCTTATTAGTAGGGTCAATTTATGATCATTAAATCTGGTCAATCATATCAGATGAAAAAATAATATTGTCAGTACAAATTTAACTGTGAAGAACTGAGTATTTTATTTTTCTAAAACCTTTTTTATAATAAGGTTTTTTTACATTAAAATTGACCGTTAAATCTAACTAAAATCATGTTAAAATATAAAAGCAAGTAGAACATATAGTTTTTTTATACAAATATACCCATTAAAAATATAGAACCTTCAATACCTACTATAGATTTTTTTTTTTCAAGATCTACAGTAAAAATCACCTTATGATGATAAAAGATTATTGGTATGACACAATTTTAAACAGATAAAAAAGTTAATAATTCAAAATTACGAATTACACTTTATTTATTATTCTAACATATAGTTCATTTTGTTATTAAATAAGGATCTTATTCGGTACACTAACATACCGGTAGATTAAATTTTTTATCTATCGGATCTACGTAAAAATTAAAAAGTATGTAAATCTAATAGTTAAAAAAATTTAATTTACTGATACGTCAGGCGTACCATAAAATTTCTCATTAAAGAACTTTCAAACGTTATCTTTAGTCTAAGAATTTTGGTTATTCTTTCTTTTGAAAGCAAAAGATGAAAGCGATATCTAATAGAGACTCACAAACTTGGTAATCACTTTTGATTTCCAAGTGCATATACATTACAAGCAACAATTCGTAACTGATAAACTCACTTACAAGTTTCAATAACAATTTCATAACTGATAAACTCACTTTCATCAATCATGAAAATTGCTAATGAGGACTTGCTTTATAATAAATGGTACCAGATCTAGTTTATAATTCTAACTAATGCAAATACTAAAATTCAAAGCTTTGCTCACTATTTTTTATTTTCCTAAAAAACAAATATAGTTCACTATTGTAATGAAAATAAATGAATAGTTATTGGGGTCCGAAGGTTTCCTATTAAAGCGCGATGAATTAGAAATTGGTTTGAGAACTCGAGGAAGAGGGTGGGCCATACCATTACCCAGTTCTCTCACTCTCTCTCCCACTTCTCTCACGACACAAACATATATATGAGAATATATATTCAGAGCAAAATATATATGAGAATATGAGAATTTGTACACATATATTTGAATTTAATTCTTTTTAAACAGTTTTAAAGGAGACAGTCAAAACCAGCTCTCAATTGCTCTCTCTCTCTCTCTCTCAAGAGAACAACAACAAAAAAAAAAAAAAAATTCTCTCTCTCTCTCTCTCCGACTGAAAGGCATCGCAAGTGGTCTCGTGTTTCTTTGCTTCCCTAGTCCACAGATGTTCTTTTTCTGCTAACAAACGCCGCCTTCTAACCTTCTTTTCCCTCTCCGTCTCGACCATGGCGGTGTACGGTCTCGCTTCACTGTTGGCTCTCATGGCGGTTCTTGGAATGCAGCTCATTCCTGTAATAAAAGCAGGTTATTCTCTTTTTTATCATTTTATTTATTTATTCCGTTTCTTTTTGGCATATGGTTTTGCTGCTTATTGTTTCTTTAGCTTTCTTCTTATTTTGAGCAATACAGTGAAGGAGCTGCATTTATGTGTTATTGCTTTTTTTTTTGGGCTTAAAATGGCAACTTTGGAAATGGGTTTCTTTTCTTTTTTTTTTTTCTCTTGCTTGCTTTTTCTGTTTTGATTGTCCGAGTTTCTGTGAGATGAATTGGGCATTGGAATCTGTATCTTTATCACTCTCTGGCTTTTGGGTTTCTCTTACTTGTTTTGGAGAGTTAATGGCTCATGTGGAGCTGGCCATTGTTTGGCGGGTCCAAATTTTGTTTCATTTTTGGCTTTGGCAATGAGTGTTCTGGAAGAGTTATTTATCAAGCAAGTTTATCTGGGATTATAAGTTTTGGCCGAAGTTGGAAGTCTGGACTGGGTTTTTGTTTTTAAATTCTAGTTTTTGTTTTTTTTCTTTTCCTATTCTGGACAGTTGATTTAAGGGCATGGTCCATTACTGGATTAGAAGATCTCTAGTAGATACAAAAAGAGTTTAACAATCTATAGAAACTGATTCAGTGTGTATAAGAATTTATGCACGCACTAGTTTGGTTCGATATTTGCTTATTGATGCCCTTTTCTCATCAGATAACTGAGTCATTGCGTGATAACAGCTGCTATACTACGACATTCATCTTCAATTTCAATTCATTAATATGCTTAATTTGCCATGAGCTCTTTAGTATGATCTTGTGTTTGGATATAATGAATTGCGCGATACCTTACTTTTGCAGAGTGCCCCTTAGATTTGAGTGGGTCAAACTTTCCTCTGGCTGCCACTTTATGCTCGAACAAAGATGACAGAGGAAAGTGTTGCCGTCATATAAATGCTCTTGTTGCCATTTCTGTTGCTCGCTATGCAAATGCAACGAGAAACCTAGGGGTTCCTTCAGATTTATCTGATATCTGCCTCAATTCCATATCAAAAACCTTGGCACTGTATGGAGTTCCTCGGAATGCAACTATGTTTTGCGGCTTTGGGACAAAGATTCCAGTTAATTACGAGTGTATGGGTCGAACAACCGTCACGCAGATGCTGGAGTCGCCAAAATTTGGAGACGTTGCTGAAAATTGCAAAGTGCCACTTTCAGATGCAAGTAATTGCCGCAAGTGTTTGAATGCTGGCATTTCGTACCTTCGTCATCTAGTAGGATCAGAAACTAATTTGACAATGAGTACTTGTCGTGATGCAACATTTACTGCACTCGCAAGTCAAGTTGATGGTGCTTCAGCCGTTGACACTGCAAGCTGTTTTTTTGGAGTTCAGGGGCTAACCATTCCTCCAGGTACAGACGGTTTTTGACAATATGAGACTATGAGAGTTTAATTTTTGTGTTTACAATGTTTTTAATGTTTTCTTGTTGTTGCCTTTCAACTGATTGTCTTATCAGTTGTAAGATTATCATGATGTTCTCAATTTGCTTCAGACGACCTAGAAACCATCTTGTTAAATTTGTTTTGCATGCTTCATTCATAAGTTTTGTTCAAAATTCAATAAAATGTATTTCACAACCTGATTTTGGTGTTTATCTAACTGACGTTTTTGTATTCTGTTGGTAGCTTCCCGGACATCACCACCTTTGATCACGCCGAAGGCTCCTCCAAGCCCAGCAGTTGCCGATAGCCCAAGCCAAAACTTGACGGCTGCACCTTTAAACATACACCACCATTCTTACCACATTACGTTGATACCTGCTCTTGGCATTGCAGTAACAGTTGTTGCTGTTACAGTGCTTGTGGTCTTGGTATTTCTCATACGTAGGAAAAGCAAAGAGCTAGAGGATTGTGACAATATAGACAACACATCTTCAAAAGCCTTCCCTCTGCCTCGTTCTGTACGGAAGTTTCAGGAAGGTAAAGTCCTTGGTTTATCCCAGTTACATCTGCTTTCTTGCTGCTGATACAAGTTTAAAAAGAAAACAGTTGTTAAGGTGGTATTCTGTGATGGGATTTACATGTAGGTCCTTCATCAATGTTTAGAAAATTCAGCTACAAGGAGATAAAGAAGGCAACAGATAATTTTAACACCATTATTGGACAAGGTGGATTTGGAACAGTGTACAAAGCCCATTTTAATGATGGCTTAGTGGCAGCGGTAAAGCGAATGGACAAAGTTTCAGAGCAAGGGGAGGATGAATTCTGCAGGGAAATAGAACTTCTTGCTAGACTACATCATCGTCATCTTGTTTCCCTGCGTGGTTTTTGCATTGATAAAAAAGAGAGGTTGATACTTTAATGTGTGTGCTTGTGTTTACAGACATTTTGAACTAGGAAAAACTAAATGCCTTATGTTATTCATGGCAGGTTTCTCATGTATGAGTACATGGCGAATGGTAGCTTGAAAGATCATCTTCATTGTATGTTTCTTCTCTTCTAAAAATCGAACAGCTATTGAGGGTTTGATCTAACTTAAGTTTCAAATGAACTCTTTATCCCTCTCTCTCTAGGTTCACATACAATTTATGCAACCGAGTTACAAGTCATATTCACAAATTAAGTGTCGATTCCTCTTCAGATAATAACTTCGAGTCATATTCACAAAATAAATGTCTATTCCTCTTCAGATAATAACTTCGAGTCCTTGTTATACGGAAAATTTTGATAGATTTATTTAAAAACTACTCCTTGCCCTCTTTCCAAAGTATGAGCTTTGATGCTTATGCCTGATGTGATTGTTCCAATGTTTCTGTAGCTTCAAATAGAGCTCCTCTAAGTTGGCAGACGAGAATACAGATTGCAATCGATGTGGCTAATGCTCTGGTAATTCTTTGAATTATTTTTTCCTCTGGGTTAATTTAGTTGCATGGCTTTAAAAATTTTGTTTTCAAATCATTTTACCACTACATACTTAAGGGTGAACTTAAATTGGAATGTTTTCCTTATTTCCTATTTTGACCTGCAGGAGTACCTCCATTTCTATTGTGATCCTCCTCTGTGCCACAGAGACATCAAATCCAGCAACATTTTACTAGACGAGAATTTTGTTGCAAAGGTAGCGAATCAGTTGACCATAAAGTTTTTATTCGAGATTTGATTGGCTATTATTGCGTTTCATAATAAGATGATGGCAAAACCGAATATTTCCTTCTTTCATTTACACAATGTTTTCATCTTACAGGTTGCAGATTTTGGCCTTGCACATGCATCAAAAGATGGTTCTATATGTTTTGAACCTGTAAACACCGATGTCCGGGGTACTCCAGGTTAGATAAACTTATTCCTATAACTTTGAACATGAAAGCACTATATTCTGTGCTAAGCAGTGATTGAAGTTTTATGGCTCTAGGCTATATGGACCCAGAGTATGTGATCACGCAAGAGTTGACGGAGAAAAGCGATGTATATAGCTATGGTGTCTTACTATTAGAGATAGTGACTGCAAGACGAGCGGTACAAGACGGCAAGAATTTGGTTGAATGGTCACAAATACATTTAGTATCCGAATCAAGGCTAGCTGATCTAGTTGACCCAAGTATTCGAGGTGCTTTTGATTCTGAGCAGCTTCAAACAGTTGCTTCTATAGTGAGATGGTGCACTCAGAAAGAAGGCTGGACGAGGCCTTCAATTAAACAGGTCCTGAGGATGTTATACGAAAGTTCGGACCCCATGGATAATGGATTTGCAGAGGCTATTGAAGATGAAGAGTATGACGGAAACGAAGGGAGACCGAGGACGAGCAAAGGCAAAATGCACAGGAATGAGTTCCATAGCGGGGATGGAAGATGTCTTGCTTCTTCTTCAAGTACGTCAAGATCTTATTGTAGTAGAAGCTTCTTACTTGAAAATGGTTCTCCACAATCCCCGCCAAATATCTTATCTCTTTAAAGTCGATATTTCATTCACTTTCCGCACTCAACAATAGAAATGGTAGAACTTTAGCTAACACTTGGTTGACAGCATTGGACCACGTCATCCATTTTTCCCCAAGTTTTGGAGAAGTTTACCTCTTTCTTTTTCAACAGACTGTCCAAACTCCGAAGGATTTGTGGAGTTACATGTTGCTTTCTCAAAGGAGAGAAAATTTGTAACAGCTGTCATAGTACATATTCTTTGGATCATTTTGTGCAAATATTTTGGAGATGTAAACCAGAAATGATCTTTCCTTTGCTTGTAGAATTGGTATAAATTTTGTTCTCAGCTTTGACCAATTTCATACTTGAAGACAATACAATCACTATTTTGCTCCTAAAGAATACATGTATACGTATAACTAATGTAAGCCAATTGCGATATGAAATTCAATTTGTATGTCATCTTCTAGAAGATCACTTGATTTTCATGACAATCTCTATTGTTTCAATTCCTAGTCAGGAAGAGTCCTTTCTTTTAGAACTTGCCATTGTTGGCTTTGTCATTTCCTTTTCTGTTATTTGCCCAAAATAATGCCTTGATTACACTTTTTTCATTTTTTTCAATGAATAAGATCATCTCCAATGAAAATGCTTATGACAATTGCTAAGTGTGAGAATCTTAATATTGTATTGTGGAGTGATTTTTCTATTCAAATGTTAAAATTTAGCATTGGTACATTAATTTAGTATTGCATTCGAGATTACTCTGGGGAAGGCTTTTATTAGACTGTAGAAAGAGCTACTCTGCTTTAGATTCTATTTTCACTTTTGAAACGTAAGACTAGCAAAGGACTTGGCTTTAATCCAACGGTGAAAGAGTATATAATATATATACATACATATATATATATATATATATTTACTACGGAATTTCACTGCAGGGAAAAAAAAATTATATAGTGTGTTCAACCAACGGTCACAAACATGCCGCTAGTTGCCTCCGACGATCACAACTATGAAAATGTATCAACACCGACCGACCAAATCTGCATCCCAGATAGCTACAACACTGGATTCTAGTCACTTTTTTTCCCCCTTTTGGTAGGGACTTGATTCTCGTTACAGTAGACAAGGGAACCAAGAACTCAAAAAGAAAAAGAAACCGGTGAAGAAAAAGGACAAAAGGTCCATCTCTTTTCTCGAAAATTAGGAGGCACCATGACGTCTTTTTATGCAAGAATATTTGGTCGTTGTGCACAAATGTATCGACAATTTTAGGCTATGATGAATTATTATGTCCTCCAAAAGGTACAACTTAACAGTTGAACTCCAAACAGTTTGCTTGGTTAAAGGTAGAGAGAATGGCAGGGGGAGAAAACCAAATCCCATGTTTGGTTGGAGGGAAGAGAAGTGGAAGGAGGGAGATGGAGAGGCTCCCTCCGCTCACAGAATCTAATTAGTAGAAAGATTATTAACAAATGATAAACTAAGTAATATGATAATTACATAAATAACTATTTATCCATCCTTTTAGATTACCATCTTCTTCATCCTATAATTCTTTCAAAAGGGAGATTATCAAATAGTATAAAAGACCAAGCGTTTCCTCTTTATAATGCACGCAACTATCTAATAATGTATCTAGAATAGACTAATTAGGATTTGCTCTCTTTTTGCCTTATCTCAATCACTAAAACCACAGCCAGTGCTCAGGACACCGTATTACTAATCAGCAGTTCCAGCAGCCTATTCCACACCTCAATTCGTACAAATCTATGTCTCTGTTCCTGTCACAGACACATGGAGTTAACCCACCAGAGCCTCTGCGACACGGGAATGTCTCCGGTGCCGGAAAGATTGCTGGAAAAACGCAAAACTAAAATGGAATTCAAACTTCTCACTGTGATGTGCTGGAAACGCTAAGACGAAATCGAGAGCTTTTTTCGGAAATTAAGCGAGAGAGAGATTTGCTGCAATGGAGATAGCCATAAGCTCACATGTAATTAGCAATCTAACTATCTAAGCAATAAAATGCGAGAACGGATTACTTGACGATCAAGCTAATATCAGTACTTAGTTAAGAACACATCCCACAGTAAAGTCAACACTGATGCTGAACTTTTATTACAAGGAAAAGATATAAATAAAACACAGGGTTAATATACATGTAGATCTCCCAGTATTAGGCGATCAGTTACAGTGACTGGTCATGAGTCTTGCATGGAAATTTACTATAATAAAAGTTCATATCCATGCAGGACACATTCACAACGAAAAAAAGACGTGCTCCCAGCCTCTTAGCCTCTTCTATAATCCTCTGAGAAAACATTGTAAAAGAATTCGAAAAATACGGAACAGACACAGGGAGAGAGACTGAGTTACCATAAGTTTACTCAACCTGGCCTAGTGTAACTTAAAAACATCACAACTTACAAGAAACAGGCAGCCCCACGGACTTTTTCTAACCACCAACTGCGGATAGGAACTTCTTCTTGCTCACTGGTTCTTCATGCAACTCCACCACATCTCCTACTTTCTCAAACAGATCCTCTAGCTGATCCACACCGAATCTCCGATAGTCTAATGATTTCTTGTACCTTTGCTCGTATATAGCCTCGAAACAACCCAAGAAAATCAGGCAAGAATAGCTTACCAGGATATCCTGCAGCTCGTATTTAAACTGCTCAAGGATTTGGTCATCAGTTTCACACTGACCAATTGTTACCGAATTCCTTCCTTGGTTCCTTCTCTCATCAAGTTCATTGTTGACTACTCTTTCCTCATCTGACAACTCGTCCGATGAGACATTACCTGTGACAACATCTAAGCTCCCTTCCTGGGTCTCCTTTCCTCTTCTATTATCCCTTCTGAGTAAAATCACAGGTGGCGCACTTGGACCTGTTTTCCAGTTTCGAAGGCAGACAAATTTCTTTTGCCCTCTACCCTCCACAACTATTGCATCACCCATCTTCTTGAAAAGATTTACAAGCTTAAATGCACCATATTCTGATACGTAAAGGGGCCTCCCAAAAGCTCTCTGGTAGTCAGAAGGAACTCGGGTAAGAGGCAGGCATCCTCCTGAAAGTTCAAGTAACTTTATAAGTTGCCCCTTCAGACCATTTAAATCCCCAGGCTGTACCCATGAAGTCGAGTCACCCTGATCAACAGATGTAAGAGGCGCTGCTGATACTTCATGCATGCCAGATGGTAGACTTTGTGCACTCGAAGTTGTAGGATAACAAGGCATCATAGAACTACTGTTGTATTCGGACAGTAAGTGGGACACTATTGACAAATCTCTAGAGTTGTAATAGCTTTGTGAGACCCCCCTGTAAACAATAGCTTCTTCGTCATTTTGAACATTTTCATTGATATGACAACCCATGAAATACCCAGCAATGTCACTTGGTCCTGCACGAGGGGGCATTAAAGCTCTAGCAGGAGGAACAAAGCCCTCCCCACGAGCCACGCTAGGCCAGTCCCATACAAATTTACCAGCATTGCAGAGAGCAGATGAAACCCCTACCCCGGAAGGGATAACAAGAATCACAGTATATCCCCGTTGACCAAGTATATGAAGTGCTGGAGCAAAATCAACATCCCCAGAGATCAGCATGATAGAAGAAGGGGGAGGGTTGTCCAAGGCAAACAAAAACATGTCAACCAAAATGGCCTTGTCAGCAGCATCCTTTCTTCCGTTTGGAACGTCAATGAGTTTTACACCAGTTCTCTGGCAACCTTCTCGGAGTCTCCTGGGAAAGGCATTGAAGTCCCCGTATGCAGAAAACATCATAACAGCTCCTTGGATGATAGGATGTACCCTCAAAGCCATTCTGATATTCCCACCTACATCTTCAGGGCGAACATCACTTGGGACAGGGCAGTTTTCGATATCCCAAAGTATAGCAACAGGACCATCAGAGGCGCTTCGGCTTGGCTGGTTCACTGGAGCTTCAACTGTAACTGTATTTGTACTTGAATCTGCAATATGCTCTCTTTGCTCAGAGGAGTTGGAACGCATTATTGATGTTGATATATTTGGATAAGCCATCAGTGTCGAAAATCAGTTTCCTGTGTACAACAGATTGATGAGAACCAAAAAAATATGGCATTAGGGTGGTTTACAAGTAATTTTAAGGGGGAAAAAAGCCGAGAGAAAAGGTGAATATATTTCAAATTGTAACTAAATTTTTTATACCAACATCTTAAGAAGCGCAGTTGCTGACTAACTTCTTAATAAGGCCTATGAGGTGCAGACTTCACATGTGGAAAAAAAGAATTGCTTTCAAAGTTAAGGCAACAAATGAAGAGAGTAGCAAACAGGTGTTAAACATGCACACATGCGAGACATCAGCCTTGTTAGATACTTGCACTCTGAAGATGACATTAAGCACCATTTTGTTGACTTTTTACCCTATCCTGCATGCAAAAACTTTTACCATGATTTGTTACAGGCACAATGGTCATGTTTAGGCATGTACAAACAATGGGCGACATGACTAGAGACACGATTGGAACCAAACATTTTTTTCTGTTTCCATGAATATATTGTATCAATCATACAAACGCAAGCGCAAGCACGTCTGCATCAGCAACCTCATTAACAATTGAGCCAAAGAAATCTCATAAAAGGGTGGACACAAGTGCCATGCCTTGAGCATTGCAAACTCCATTTTCTCAATTTGTTAAGTATTTTAATCATAGGCCAAAACTTTGTGCATTGCATTTCATTGGTCATAAGAATTTACCCCCTTTTTTTTTAAAAATTGACAATAATTGATCTGCCATTAAATTTTTCTTATGACTTTTACACGGCTAATATCAGTATCTAGACGTATATCCCATTAGCAATTCCACATCAACGCTGAATTTCAGTAGAGTTCCTCAATGCCCATTAAAAAACAGGACAAAACCCATTATACCGCGTATAGCATTACGGCTTACGCATTTGCCTAAATTAGGTTAAGGGTTTCTAAAAGAGATGGGAGTCATGCAAAAAATTAGTGGTTAATGAACCATATACTGCCTATCTACGACATGAAGTACTTGTTCTGCAGCATAAAATAGACCAACAGAAATAAAAAAACGCATAGATTACATGATTGAATTTCGACAAACTAATAGAAAAAGGCAAAGAAAAATAATCCGTTAAACAGGTTGATTAGAGGAAATTGGAAAAGAAGCTCACTTATGCACAAAGAAGTTCTTTGGCAATTGCAAAGAACGATCACTAACTTAAAAGAATAGGTATACAGGCTTTTTCTTCGGTCGCTCTTGTGGGAAGTCCCTCCAATGTAACACTTAATTATGGAAATGTAACATGACAACTATTGAACATTATATTATATTATATATATATATATATATGAGTAATGCAAATCCAAGAAAGATCAACTTCAATCAAATACCAAGTTCCGACCGCCACAAAAGAGAAAACAGACTATCTCCGTTTGGTCGATTGGAATATCGCAGTAATCGCAAATACACAGCAAAAATAACCTCCCCAACCGACAAACTACGAAACCCGAAATCGAATTGGAATCCAGCAAATCAATTTTTTGCCAAGCAATTTAAGAATTCGATTGGAACAGAAAGATTATTCATTCATAAGGACAACCTATGAGGAATTATGGAAAGAAAAAAAAAGTACCTCGCAAAGAAGCAGCAAATCTCCTTCGATCGACGGTGTTCTTCTCTGAAGCCGGCAAAATAAATTATAAAAAAAAAAATCCTGAAAAAAAGATCACGATAAAAAGTTTTAAGCGATCTGGTATCTATTGAAGAAGAAGGAGGAAAAGGATAAAGAAAAAGGAAAAGAATTTATCGAAAGTTTTTTTTTTTTTTTTTTTTCCTTCTAAGTCCTGAGTTTTTCTACTGAGATTTTAGAATTGTTAGCTTTGGGAAGAAATTGTTGGAGATTGGGGGGAGATTTTTACTAGATTTTGGAGTTTGTACTTTGTACTGCAAACCAATCCTTCTTGGGCTTAAAAGCCCAGGCTAAGTGCGTTTGGTAAAAGGAGACAATTAGACAAATGTCTCCATTTTTACTCTTTTTTTTTTTTTTAATATCCCTTTCTTAACCAATTAACTATATTAAGTCAGCATGTATTAATTAATATTAAAAATTAAAAATCTAAACTCATAATAAGTTTAATAATTTTCTCTTTTTCTTTCAAAAGAATATAGTAAGGATTAATTTCATAAGTATCTCTTAATTTTATACATTATTTTAAAATGTCTTTTCAATTTTAAAAAAGGTTCCTTTCACCTCTTAAAGTATGAAAAGTGATTCAAAACACCTATAAACTAATGTTTTCTCACAAATACTTCTTGAATTATTAGTTTTGTGTCAACATGTTCGCTGATCTTTTAAATGGTTAGGGATTAAGTTGACACAAAAGTAATAATTTAGATAGTAAGTTGACTTAAAATCAATAGTTAAAGGACATTTATAAAAATATAAGTTGTGTTAAGCCATCGTTTTATTAGTTTTATTAGTATAGGGGTATTTTGAATTGAGGTACATATTTTAGGAGCTGAAATGAATCATTTTCAAAGTTCAGGAGACATGTTGAAATAAAGTACAAAATTCAAGGGCTTATGAAATTAATCCATATAGTAAATAGTAGATTTATGAAACTAAATTAAGTAAAATAGCAGAATTTAAAATTATTTGAAGTAAATAGTAGTTTATCACGTAAATGTTTCATTTACAATTAGTAAAAAGATTTTTTTAACATAAATTTTCTTTTTATAATTGCTAAAAAGTTTTATTTTCATGTAAATAAAGATTTTTTTACCACGTAAATTATTTTTCAAAACTCTGCAATTTACTACACTTGGTTTTTTTTTTTTTTTTTTGAGTGAATATGTTTGTTCTATTGTTGATGAAGTATTTATGTTATAAATAAATTAAAAATTTTTAGTTATCTAATCTTCTGATTAAGTAACTTCTTTGGGTTAATAAAATATAATGTGTCGGAGCAAAATTCCGTCCAACACATAGGGAAATTAGATGAAGACTCAAAGAACACAAAGAACCTCTAAAGGAATAACAAAAACAAAATGAAGACAATCACAAGACAATTGTATTCAGAAATGAGTGTCCCTTTCCTTCTCTAATCGAGCGAATTTATAGTACATTAGAATTGAGGGAGTTTAATTCTCCCATTAATTCGAGAGTTTATTCTCTCTTAATTACAATGAGGCTCTTCACCTTTTTGTGAGTTAAAACTGATAAATAACCAATGAGAATTAACTTTCAACCATTCAATGTCTTCAATTAGCGTCGGTTACTTCACTTGATAACATCACGTGACCTTTGAACTTTTGGCTCAGGAGAGCTTGGGCTCGGGAGAGCTTGGAAGATGAAGAAATCACGATTTCAGTTCCGCAAGGTAAAATTCAAGAAGATCCACAATCAAGTCAAGCCTCAGTTCTCAAAAAACTATTTGGCCCGGTGTGGCGGTTGTATGTGGATGGAGCATCGAATGTTAATGGGTGCGGGACAGGGCTGATTCTGATAAGCCCAAAAAATGATAACATCGCACGACCTTTGAACTTTCAAGAGCTTGGGCTCGGGAGAGCTTGGGCTCGGGAGAGCTTGGGCTCGGCAAACTTGGGCTCGGGAAAGCTTGGGCTCGGGAGAGCTTGGGCTCCGGTAAACTTGGGCTCTGGCAAGCCTGGGCTCGGTGAACTTGGGCTCGGGAGAGCTTGGGCTTGACGAACTTGGGCTTGAGAGAGCTTGGGCTCCGACAAACTTGGACTCTGGCGAGCCTGGGCTCGGGAGAGCTTGGGCTCCGGCAAGTTTGGGCTCCGACAAGCCTTTGAATTTATTGCACATTTAATGATTCTGAAAATGCTGCCCAACATTTAATCTTACATTTTTTTAAATCATAAAGATTATCGATTTAGATTATGATGGTGGATCCCCTCTCTATATGTAATCCAATACTTTTATATTTAGTGGTAATTTGTAATTACATTAAAGTTTGTTGACTAATTATTTAATGAAATGTTTCCATTTTAAAAATACTAATCTAAATAAAAACGATATTTTCCTTAAAAAAATATATTTAATCCTAAATAAAGGGAAAAAAGTTATGACTCAACTAGTTAATATGTATTTATCTAAATTTAAATATAATAAGTTGAATGTTTGTTGTTAATGTTATTTAGAAGAACAAATATATATTTTAACTCTGAGGTCTTTAATTAAAATGCCTTAATCTTTATCCCAAAACGAATTAATATATGCGCTTCTCAATCATTGAGGGTTGTTTTCTTTTTTTTTCTGGCAACTTTTTGGGTCCTAAAGAGGATTTATGAGAAAAAACAAAAAAACCAAAAATATAGATGGTAAAAAATATTACTTATATTATTGCACTAAAAAATAAATAATTATCATTTAATTAATAAAAATAAAATAAAATGTCATAATGACACCTAATTATTGTCAATGGAATAAATAATAGGTATTCACAAAATCGTGGCAAACTATGTATTTTAGAAATGTATATAATTTGTCATGGTTGTGCATACCTATTATATTATTTTAAATAATTAGATGTCATTGAGGCATTTTATTTTCTCTTTATTAATTTTATCAATTGAATGACAATTATTAACTTTTTAGTTGAGTAATTTAAATAGTATTTCTTATCATCTTAAATAGTATTTCTAATTTTTTTTCTTTTATTAAACAAAAAGATTGTAAATAATTAATTTAACAGAAATTTTGTAAAAGAAAAAATTTTTAATTTCAAATTATAAAATGAAAAACACTAAAATAAATCAAAATCTAGAGTCTGAGGCCCCGTTCATTTCGCTGATACGAGTTTAGAATTTGAGTTTTGCTACAGTAAAAAGCTCTCACAAACAATCACATCTAACTTTTTTGCTACAGTAAAAAGCTCTCACATAAAATCACATCTCAACTCGAATTAAAAACTCGAATCAGTAAACTAAACGGGCCCTGAATACATCTCTCAGACACCTCTTATTGACTAAATTCAAAACTGAACAGCTGGTTTCCATTGTACCAACATGAGACAAAAAAAAATCAAAATAGGGAAATGCTACTACTAACAGCAAAAGGAGCCTCCCAACTCATAAAGTTGTGATTCATACAAAGCGTTTAGACTTTTTTTTAAAGGAAAAGTTTTTTAGTCAGTTGGAGAATTTCCTATATTTGCAATGCTGAATGTCGTATTTGTTGGTAGCCAAATCGAATTCGGATGTGGAAGCGTGGCGGGGAGGCGGATGAAGTATAACAAAAATTTTTATAAAATTTTTGAGATACTCTATAGATTATATTAATTTATGCACGAATAAATTAATCACATTAATTTATATGTCAATGACTCAATTAGAAAAAATACTTGGAGCCGACTCGGATGATAACTTGAATTCTTTGACCTCGAACAATCCTTGCTCTAAGCTTTGTGTTTAGAAAATCAAAGTCTTCCACATCAATTCCTTAATTCCACGTAGACGTGTGTGTGGGTACACTCGAGACTAAAACGGGTTTAATTAAACACTCAAATTTTCCACAAACACCAACGCATGCACAATGTGGAATTTTTGGGAGAAAAATTTCCTTCTCTTGCTCTAGGGAATTTCGGCCAGCCCCTTAAAGTCTAGGTTAAAAAATTCGTCATCTGCAATTTTTCATAATCCCTTATTTATAGAGTAGAAGTCTAACTTCTAGAAGGAATCAAATCTCTCTCTCCTGTTTGAATTTTGAACAAACATTCTCCTCTATCCTTCGCTTGTGGCCGGCCATGCTAGGGATTCATATCCCTGTGTATGGCGCCAATTACAGATAGGGAAGGAAGAGAAAATCATCTTTTATCCTGTAGTCTAATTTTAATTTTAATTCAAATTTAAGTCAAACTTAAATTAATTTGAATTCTAAATTGAACAACTTATCAAATAAGTTTAAAAGGATAAATTTAAATTATGTTCATGATTCAAATTCAAATTTAAATAATCACATTATTTAAATAATAATTAATTCTCAATTAATTATTTTTTGAGTATTTAATTTTAGAATTCCATAATTCTAAAGTTCCCATTTTGTCCTTTGTGTCTGGTAGAATTACAAGAATGACGCGGGGACTTATGGACCTATAATCCCAAGCTCTAATAAAATTAATAATTAATTAAACACTTTAATTAATTAATTAGTTATATTAATTCCAATAGTTACTCCACTATAAACTTGGAATTGCACTCTCGAAATTATAGACATTAATTACTTCTAAACTGTGAAGTGTCCATTTGATATAGTCATTGCATATAGATCAATCATCCATAAATAATTCATAATTAGAGCCAGGTAAAATCCGTTAACCTCTCTAATTATATCTT